TTTTGATTTCATTGCCAATTCTTGTTGAGACACAAATATCTGGCACTGAATTAGTAATGACACTGTCACACACACATTCACACGGATAAGTGAATTTGTACACCTGGTTCAATCACATACTATTGTTTACATATATATACAAGGTATTTACAGGTCCCATTTATGTTTCTAAAAGTCCACCACTGTATGATACTCCAAGAAGTATGGATTCATACAGAGTGCCACCCCACATTGCTGACACATGTATCGTGTGTCTTTTCGCACTTGGGGTCGCTGTGGAGTGTAAGCACACACAACACACTTTTTCTGAGAGTACTTCTTCTTTGGAGTAGATGGTAATGGTATCAGGCAGTGACAGTTAGGGATTATTTGGTCAGGCACTTCCCCCTCTTCCTGTGGAGTGACAGGTCGCTGTTGTGGGGTGACAGGTTGCTGTTGTGGGGTGACAGGTCCCTGTGGAGTGACAGGTATAGGTGTGGTTCGCTATCTGCTTGATAACATTGAGGTTGAATTCCGCATATCGTTGTCACTTCCCCGTCTTTATTTCATACATGTTGAAAGCATTGAGCATTGGAATGTCTACAAGGTGGAAAATCGCTTTTATATACCACTTGCGATTCCTACGCACCCAGTCAACAAACCCTATCATCATGTCACACTTGTCGACTAGTCGCATATTGTTTGTATGGTCGATGACAGCAGCTGGCTTTACAACAGGTTCATTGTTGTACTTGCTCAGTCTGTTTGTACCAACTCGTTTCTGTGGATGGTTGACAGCAATGTCACGTCCCGTTTGTCATGCCACATCAGTGCCATGATGTCATTGGCATGAAACGCTTGCACTGCACTTCTTCCAGTGAACCTTGGCATGTGTTTTCTACTTTTTCTCACTGTTCCACATATAACAGTATTGTTCACACGTAGGAAATCAGCGAGCACAGGGCTTGTGTACCAGTTGTCTGTGAACAATGTATGGCTCTTGCCAAGGTATAGCTGCATCATCTTGCAAACATCACCAGAAATGCCCAACATGCGCCTGGTATCGTCGAGTGTGTTTTTTCCTGTGTAGATTATGACATCCAACATAAGACCAGTCTCACAGTCACATTACAAAGAGTTTTATACCAAAACGATTACGTTTGTTTGGTATATATTGTTTGAATGGCAGTCGTCCCTTGAACAGAACCAAGGACTCGTCAACAACAAAGTAGGCACTGAATTTTTGCCTGAGATACGTAAACAATTCCCTGATTATATATAGAAGGTCATTTCGGTTTGGAATATTCCTATCTGAGAAGTGCAACATTCGTAGCAACAGAGTGAATCTATTGCATGGGAGGAGGTCACGGAAGACTGGAGTACTGATGAAGTGGTCTGTGGACCAGTAGTGTGCTATATGTTCTTATAGGTGTGTGGCATAAGCATGATTGTGACAAGGAATTAAATACATTCCAGCCACAGTTGTATCCTTCCACTTGCGCAGCCGTGAAGACTCTGAAATATCTGTGTGGTCCATTGTATACTGGTAGTACATGCTGGTCTGGGTAACAATCAGGTTCATTATCGGTTCATCAAAGTATAGTTGAAAACAGTCTAACTCTGTAGACTCATTTGTGATGGGACAGTGTGGCATGATGTCACTTCCACTGGCATCAAAATTGAAAATATGTGGCGTGAATGGTGTACTTTCTGTCCATTTCCATTCACGATCAGATGGTGCAGGGTGGACCTGTGGCATGGGGTATGGGGGAGCAGGAGGGTCCTTTGTCTGCCCACCTACTGCGCCACGAGGTCCAGGCACCATGCCACCAGCCTCATCTTCCTCCATCCCAGCATACTCACCTTCATGATCACTATCACTCTCACTAGCTGGGGTTTCGGATCGTGGCCTGCCACGACCCTTGCCACCGACTACATATGGCACACTGCCTGAACGTAGGTTACGACGCCTAAAAGTACGTTTCACTGGGGAATAATGATAATCACTGTCACTTGACGAATCCTCTATGAGCATAAAATCGATTTCATTATCGTCACTTATATTACTTTCACTATCGTCATCACCATAACGCTTGGAAAATGATAATTTCCTCTTGCAAAGTTGCCTTTGGGTAGTAGCACTAGCAACCCCAGAGGTACTTGGCTGAGGATCTGGTATGGCCACACTCTCCACACTGGCCACCCCAGAGGTGATGGGCTGAAGGTCATCTGGGTTGTCATCAACAGTTTCACTAATTCCTTGAACATTAGTGGCTATATCGGTGTCAGATTCACTAACCTCACGTTCTGTTACACTTTCCGAGAATAGCAGAGTGGTAACACGCCGAGGTGTGAGTGAATCACGGGGGTTTGCCATGATGCTAACCCAAGATGGAGCTGTAACTAACTGGTGCTACCATGCGGTACCCCAGCGTCAGCGAATTTTTTCACTCTGCGCACACTTAGGGCGCAGACCCATTCTCTCTTGTCTAGGAGACTCAGGCCTATCCCGCCAAATTTGAAGGAATGAAAAATAAAACCTTGATGTACATTCGGAGCGCTATGCATACAAACGTACATCTACGTTTGGACACTTAGGGGTTTGATCTTCAAGGAAGGTCAGATAAACTCTCCTCTAGACAAAATAAACTTATATTATAGGCAATAGTATATATAGCACAAACCCGCCTTCATTATACATTACCAAAAGCATAGGTAATATGCTTGTAAACTTTTACTATTTGATTAAAATAAGGTCGTAAGAAAATTAAGATGACTAGCGACCCCAGTGAGCTGGCATCCTCCAGCCTGCTGTACGCTATTATTTCTGTTTTCTTCAGAACACACACAAGTCCCACTCAGACAACAGCAGAAAGCACTTTCAAGGGCCCACGTGAGTACAAAACTAAACGCAGACACAACCTACGGTCTGAGCATCACCACAAAATACACAAAGCCACATACTTGCCACCTCGATAAGTTCCTCACAGTTCTCCCCCGTGACGCTGTGACGTCACAAATGAAAAGCCTCCACAAGACGTCTACATGAAGATATATAATGATGGAACACTTTTTCACACTAGAAATACCTTATTTTATAATACAATTTATCACAATAAAGCTGTAGCCTGCATAACAGGAG